GCGATGGCCGGGCTCGCGAACGTAACGTCCACAATAGACTCGCCCTGCCACCGCACGCACGTCGCAACCGAACCTCTATTCAACAAACAGAGGCCGGCCGCGTTCGCCCACCTCTCCAGTAGCCTACCACGAGCGTCCGAGCGGGGGGAGCCCCATGCGACAGACTTCGCGTTGAGATCCCCCGCGAGAATCACTGGACGGGGAGCGAGGCGGCGAACAATCGCCCCGATCCCGCCCAGGAAATGCCCGAACTCGACAGTAGGCCTGTTCGGAGAGAAGTACGCCCCGATCACGACGGTCCCTTCCAACTGCACCGCGACGAACCCTTGGCCCCTGGTCACCATCGCCAGGGGGGGGATCGCCGCGTCTCTTCTTATGGCTATGGCCGCCAGGCCGCCATCATTAATAACCCCTTAGGATATCAACGATTTTGTAGAAAAAAACTTACATGTCCTACTCTACCTTGAGTCTAATAAGTTATGCGCATTTGATCGTCATAACATTTTTCGTATATTTTGTTGTATGTTACATACATGGTCATTATCAGATAATAAAATCTGTCCCCAGTGTCGAAATATCACCAGAGCAAACATAGTAAATATAACAAAGCAATTCGTCGTAACAAAAGTAAATTCTAACTTCTTTAGCCCAACACTAAGGTTAATTTGACATAAAATTGGGGGAATTAAAAGATGCCAGCTGATGTACTTCTCAGACATGCCGAGGTTGAAAATACTTACCGCGGGCAGCTTAGTGTCACTCTTGGAAAGATGCACTCCGCCAATTTCAATAATATTGGGAAGATACGCAGCTGGAGTATCAAAACTAAAATGTCCGTTAATTAATATCAGGGAGGCATTCTTTTGCATCTCAAGCAAAGTGGGCACTGGTTCTTCTAAATTTGGAATGTACTTCCTGACCAATTTCTCTTGTTCTTCTAAGTACCAATATCGCCACCAAACGTATTCGTAAACGGTGAAGTATACATTTCTTAACCTTGCGAAGAAGCTAGTCGGGTTCCTCACTTCCAAAAATTCACTGATCACAGTGGCTAGCTGCAATGGGTTTCTTATCATGATGTTATGTCTCATACAGTTTCCGAATGTTGTAACTAGAACTAAAGGAGCTTTGTATTTATGTGCTAATATGTTCATCGCTTCTTGGAAAAACTGCTCGCAAATGACTAAATCGAATTTGTTGTCTTCAGCTAAAAAACTCTTCACTTCAGCTGAATTTAAAGTTAGATTTGTGAATCCTAGTCCCCCTCTCCAGAGAATCATATTGTGAAATTCTTCAGTTGATACCCCAACCATGTCGAAAACGTTCGGTCTTTTGGTTCCTAAAACAGAAAGTGGTTAAAAATTAATTTGGAATATTTACTATCCATTTAATCATAATCGCCTAAATATATAAAATAAAATAAAATATTGCTTAGATGGGCGGACGAGCTCACCGCCCACCCGGTGTTAAGTGGCTACTAGAGCCCATAGACATCTACAACGTAGATGCGCCACCCACCTTGAGATGTAAGTTCTAACGTCTCAGTATAGTTACAATGGCTGCCCCACCCTTCAAACCAAAATGCATTACTGCTTCACGGCAGAAATAGCCGATGGAGGTACCTACCCATGCGGACTCACAAAAGGCCCTACCACCAGTAATTACGCAAATTATGCGGATTTGATTTTTACTACACGATTTTCCTTCACCGTGGAAGTCAATCGTCAAATATTTCATAACAAAAATTGGAACCGCCGCGCCTGTGGGATTGGAACACCGTTGCATCGCTAGATACGAATGCACCAGACGTATTTTCTTTAAGCCACGACGACTTCATATATTAGGTATAATTGTCATATCTAAAATTAGTCTTTATTATAAATTAAATGAGATACAAAAAATTTAATATTAAATCAAAGTATTTTTCAAGGTTCAGTTAATGATTAAAATATAAATAAATTCATGCTTATGTAATAACGTTATTCCAGTTGATTTCTAGAATATTATAATTAATATGGGCATTACTTTACAGCACTTAAATAATGAGAGATACGAAATTATTTTAAATTCAGTTTTATGCAAATTGAATTTATAATTATTTATTTTAAATTAAATCATCAAATGATTTGATCTTTCTCACGTGAGCATTTTTTGTTGTATTATCTACTAGATATTTTATGATTTATAGTCATCTTCATCATCACCATCAGCCCAATGTCGCTCACTTTATTAGATATTTATTTTATGCTTATTAGTCAGGATGAAAAAAGTTCAAATTCTTAAACATCGGACCAACAACAATCACCAACATGTTTTATGACAAATATGATATTTGTGTAAACAGAGCTTACCTATGACGTCCCATATTTCTTTCTGATCAACTTGTATCTGACGGTAATTTGCAGGAGCATTCTTATCTCGAAATCCAGTGATGACAGTCACATTGTGACCCCTTCTAGCTAATTCTAATCCAATCGGCTTCAACATAATATGGTGAGATTTAGAAGTAAAAGGCATCACATACAAAATATTGGCACACTCACATAAACCCGTCATNCTAGTCGGGTTCCTCACTTCCAAAAATTCACTGATCACAGTGGCTAGCTGCAATGGGTTTCTTATCATGATGTTATGTCTCATACAGTTTCCGAATGTTGTAACTAGAACTAAAGGAGCTTTGTATTTATGTGCTAATATGTTCATCGCTTCTTGGAAAAACTGCTCGCAAATGACTAAATCGAATTTGTTGTCTTCAGCTAAAAAACTCTTCACTTCAGCTGAATTTAAAGTTAGATTTGTGAATCCTAGTCCCCCTCTCCAGAGAATCATATTGTGAAATTCTTCAGTTGATACCCCAACCATGTCGAAAACGTTCGGTCTTTTGGTTCCTAAAACAGAAAGTGGTTAAAAATTAATTTGGAATATTTACTATCCATTTAATCATAATCGCCTAAATATATAAAATAAAATAAAATATTGCTTAGATGGGCGGACGAGCTCACCGCCCACCCGGTGTTAAGTGGCTACTAGAGCCCATAGACATCTACAACGTAGATGCGCCACCCACCTTGAGATGTAAGTTCTAACGTCTCAGTATAGTTACAATGGCTGCCCCACCCTTCAAACCAAAATGCATTACTGCTTCACGGCAGAAATAGCCGATGGAGGTACCTACCCATGCGGACTCACAAAAGGCCCTACCACCAGTAATTACGCAAATTATGCGGATTTGATTTTTACTACACGATTTTCCTTCACCGTGGAAGTCAATCGTCAAATATTTCATAACAAAAATTGGAACCGCCGCGCCTGTGGGATTGGAACACCGTTGCATCGCTAGATACGAATGCACCAGACGTATTTTCTTTAAGCCACGACGACTTCATATATTAGGTATAATTGTCATATCTAAAATTAGTCTTTATTATAAATTAAATGAGATACAAAAAATTTAATATTAAATCAAAGTATTTTTCAAGGTTCAGTTAATGATTAAAATATAAATAAATTCATGCTTATGTAATAACGTTATTCCAGTTGATTTCTAGAATATTATAATTAATATGGGCATTACTTTACAGCACTTAAATAATGAGAGATACGAAATTATTTTAAATTCAGTTTTATGCAAATTGAATTTATAATTATTTATTTTAAATTAAATCATCAAATGATTTGATCTTTCTCACGTGAGCATTTTTTGTTGTATTATCTACTAGATATTTTATGATTTATAGTCATCTTCATCATCACCATCAGCCCAATGTCGCTCACTTTATTAGATATTTATTTTATGCTTATTAGTCAGGATGAAAAAAGTTCAAATTCTTAAACATCGGACCAACAACAATCACCAACATGTTTTATGACAAATATGATATTTGTGTAAACAGAGCTTACCTATGACGTCCCATATTTCTTTCTGATCAACTTGTATCTGACGGTAATTTGCAGGAGCATTCTTATCTCGAAATCCAGTGATGACAGTCACATTGTGACCCCTTCTAGCTAATTCTAATCCAATCGGCTTCAACATAATATGGTGAGATTTAGAAGTAAAAGGCATCACATACAAAATATTGGCACACTCACATAAACCCGTCATTACAACAAACAAAAATATGAAACTGTTGAACATTTTATTAAATTGATTTATAACGAATACGTTACACTAAGCAATTAACAAAGAACAACAGCGACTGCTCACATCAGCTTGCTATGTATAAATAAGCAAATCGAAATGAATTCTGACGACTGAGCTAGATAGATACAAGCCCCTTCACATATTTTTTATCAGTTAGCTAATAAAATTAGGTACAAAGATGTGGACCAGTTTGTGTTCATAACCGCACTTCAAATCATTTATTTCAAATTGGATAAACATTAAAACATAATGATNACAACAGCGACTGCTCACATCAGCTTGCTATGTATAAATAAGCAAATCGAAATGAATTCTGACGACTGAGCTAGATAGATACAAGCCCCTTCACATATTTTTTATCAGTTAGCTAATAAAATTAGGTACAAAGATGTGGACCAGTTTGTGTTCATAACCGCACTTCAAATCATTTATTTCAAATTGGATAAACATTAAAACATAATGATTGAATGTCAAAGAATGTTATCTCTATGTACGGCCACAAAAGATAGACACAGTCCTGAAAATAAAAATCGAAGCAAACTCGGGCAGATATTCTTTTTTACCCGACTCACAAAGCAGGTTTTTTTTTACTATCTAAGCTTGTGGTAGCCTTGAGAGGCTATGTCAGCGTAACCTAACAAATAGGTGAGCTAACAAATAGAGAATATATTATAATACCACCGGATCGGAAATGCAATCCACTGAGAAGATCCGGCGAGAAACTCAAGGAGCTGTGTCTGTGGGTTAATTTACTCGCCAAGCCCTTCGTCGCAAGCGACGGGTTCGACGACAACGATGACCGGTGCTTGAGGTACGTAAAAGTAACGTTAGTGGATCGGGAGGATCCGAAATGACGTGCTTAGGGTGACGTTGACTGTTAACAGTGGAGGTGAATGTTTTTCAACCGTATATCTATTAACTTCTGTGTATTTAAAATCACTTATCTAAAGGACTCTACTGAGTCCAAAAGGATAGATATCGCAACCTTTCCGCGAAGCAGTAATACGTTCAGGTTTTCAGAAATAACGACGATACTATACAATTGAGACTTAGATCATAATAATATGTCTCAGGCTCATAACACTCATATTGTGAAATTTAAGAACTTTGATAACTATTTAACATTAAATGAGCCATGTGGTTAAGCACTCGTTTATGCAATAATAATAAAAGATATTAGAACAGATGAGTTTTAGGTGAGTGGAGACACTCACGCTGATTTACATAATGGGCTCCTGTAACTAGTTAATACCTGGTGGGGCTTGAGCTTCTACATTTGTCTATGCCAACCTTTCCCAAAGCGGGCGATAACGCCCCCTTGTGGGCACTGCAATTCTAAAGAGGGGCGATAAGAGACCCAGGAAAAAATGGGGGCGTTGTGTAGAAGCTTGGTAGGCTATTTGTAATTCCATCTAGGAGGACTCTTAGACACCGACTGAGCTCTCGCTATGGTGGTTTTTAAGTTGGTGAGAATATGGAAGCGTTAAAACATAATTTATTCTCAAAGTCGGTAGTAGACAAAATAAGTTTGGGAGCTCCTGGTCTATGCAATATGATTTCAGCTTTTGAAATGTCATTAGATTTATCTCAATTGTGAGAGTGAGATCTATCTATCTTCTATCTTTCAGACCATAGACATCCGCTTCTGTACGTAGGTTTACCCCAAGACTCGCCACAATACTAACATAGGCTTATATTATTTCAATACATATATTATCCGCAAAAAACAATAATCTAATAACTAAGAAGTTTGAAATGAAAATAAATTCTTAATTGAAATCTACCTAGCGAAAAGCGAAAAATAAGACAATAATACTAACTACAATATACTAAATATTACTTAAATATTAGTTTAGTAGTTATTTTGCATAATATATTTATAATAGATTTAAGAAGCCTTATTTCTCTAGTGTACTACACGTCGTGTATATCAAAAACTGGAGAATCAAATTATAAAAAATGTATTGAGACGCTTATTTTTGAATTTTAATTTACTTTTCTCAAGGATTCCCTTGAGTGACCGATATAAATCGCACGAATAGCTCTCTTCTCCAGAATGAAAATCGATTTAACGTTGTCCCGCAGTAAATTGCCACAGGGCATACTATGAAAATACCTAAAATATACCATTTAAATATATGTTGTACTTCGTTAGTTGCACGGTTGCATTTTCTCTTTTGGTATTTATTCTAAAGAAGGATAGAACAATTTTTCAAGGCACCGTCACCTTTAGATCCTTTAGAAACATAAACGCTATCAGTGAACAAACGTAATAGCGATTTCAAATTAGTTTCTCTGAAAGGATAATAATATATACTTAGGACAACGTTTATTTACGATAGACAATTCATTGTGATTTACGACCATGTGATTGACCTCACGTGTCATATCCTGTAGTGGATTCACTTTGTAACATTTACGGTTGGTATTGGTATGGTAGTTTTTGTAAACAACAAAAAAATCTAACCAATAAAATAAAATAAATGAGTGAGTGAGAGTTGCGTATGAAGCGCTAGCTCATCTACCAGATTAGTGAATTTAAAAGTGTTTAATCTATAGAGTCATTTAAGAATAGTGGTTTCAAGTTCAAACCATTTGTGAAACCGATCAGTATATTATATATGTACATATTATGTTTCGTATTTTTATAGCTATAGATATTAATAATAATAAAATAGCTTTATTTGATTCCACAATAATTGGATAGAGCTTCATTAGTTTAGTGTTTATATATATAATATAGTAATATTATATAAATAAGTAGCCTTTATAAATCTACTCATCATACCCAGGATTCAAGTAAAGAAGTATGTATAACAATGTATAAGTACAGGCATTAAGCACACAAACACACACAAGCTCTTATAAAGTAGTACTTGAGCTCATAAACATAAAAACGTAATGACGATAAGTTTTTTAAATTTTTTATTGCGTAGTTGGTTGGACGAGCTCACAGCCCACCTGGTGTTAAGTGGTTACTGGAGCCCATAGACATCTACAACGTAACTGCGCCACCCGCCTTGATATAAGCTCAAAGGTATCAGTACAGTTACAACGTCTACCCCACCCTTCAGACCGAAACGCAATACTGTTTTACGGCAGAAATAGGCAGGATGGTGGTGGTACCTACCCGTGCGGACTCACAAGAGGTCCTACCACCAGTAAAAATAATATACTATACTACATATATAATATAATAAATACGATAAATAATATACTACGTATAACTCTAAGAAGTATATAAATCTAGTCGATCGGAATTTTATTTGAAAAACTTAACGATCGCGATTTGAAATTATTCACTTTAGTAACATGGCAAATATTCTTCTTTTAGACTAAGTATAATATAATAGCGACCCGCCCTCGCTTCGCTTCGGAAACATTAAAACACACATGAAACAAAAAAAAAATTTAAAAAAAAAATTAAAAAAGTAGCCTATGTTCATCAGGTACAATGTCGGCTTCTAATGGAAAAAGAATTTTTCAAATCAGTCCAGTAGTTTCGGAGCCTATTCGAAACAAACAAACAAACAAATCTTTCCTCTTTATAATATTAGTATAGATATAGATAAAACGTTACTGGTTTTTTGGGTTCCGCAGCTAATGCCTAAAAGCGAAACATTCATAGTCACAGCTCATTCTGTCCGTGCGTCATAGTTTTTTAAAATTCAGAGACTAAGTTAAGCTTCATAATTCTTAAGTGAATGCAATTTAGAAGATAAGTGTAGTTTGTAAACAGTGTATTAAAAGTGCGATGAACGTTTGACGATACATAAGCGGGTTAAAGTGCATCATTGCATATAAGCTGTAATCAGTTTTTTTATTTATGACGTGCGAGATATCTATGCGCTTGTGAAGTCGTAAAAATATTTCCGTTATATTATCCATTGAAAACAAAAATAAACTTTTAACGAAAACGGTTTTTACTTTTTTTCATTATAGTATATGTGAGTGGACGAGCTCACGACCCGTCTAAAGTTAAGTGGTTACAAGAGCCCATAGACATCTAAAACGTAAATGCCGCCACCTAGCTTGTTATATGAGTTCTCAGGTCTCAGTATAGTACAACGGCTGATCCACCGTTCAAACCGAAACGTATTACTGTTTCACGGCAGAAATAGGCAGGGTGGTGGTACCTACCCGTGCAGACTCACAAGACATCCTACCACCATTAAAAAGTTTAACTTATTCATTAGTTTTTTTAAATAGGCATGGTAGATTTTATGTGAATTAGAGGATGATAAAAACGCTATTTTAGTTGAGCAACAAAAAACTTCTAATTTAATAATGAACGTTCATACTGACAGTGCCTGTTCGACATAGTTTTTTGGGTTGGTTTTTTTACTTAGAACTAACACAAAAGCAAGGTCTTCTTTTAGAAGAACGCCATTCTTGTTGAACTTGAATATACGTCTTGACAGATAAATAATTATTTTATATCTGTACCGTGCGTCGCAGACCTCGCTAATGAAGGTCGTTCTAAGTATGGTTTATGTATTATAGCCTTCCAACTAGATTAGAAAATCAGTCCGATTTTAATATTCCGAAGTATTGGACTGCGCTGAGATTACGTAATTAAGACAAATAAATACTGACTACACATATTATATTACGTTAATTTACGTTTTTTTTTTTAATATTGACTTATAATTATTATTCTCGTGATTATGTTTAGCTTCTCACGACCGCTTGTTGGAGGTTGGGAAGCATTGATATCCGGTGACTTTACACCAGATGGACGGCAAGTCCAAGCACTTTGTACTTTACGTCAACACAATAAATATGAGATATGTTTGCAACGCTCATTAATTGAACCGTCATGCGACATTTAAAATAGAGGAGGGCAGTACTCTCTTAAATTTGAAAGTTTTATCTAAGAGCCGCTTTATCTACAGTTTAATCAAAGTCGAAAATTCAACATTTAAAGGTACAAGTAAGAGTTTTCTTCATTATGATAGGAAGGGATTTTACTGGTGGTAGGACCTCTTGTGAGTCCGCACGGGTAGGTGCCACCACCCCGCCTATTTCTGCCGTGAAGCAGTATTGCGTTTCGGTTTGAAGGGTGGGGCAGCCATTGTAACTATACTGAG